TAAAAGTGCTTCACCTGAATTATTCCACACCTGGCTAGGTGCCGGGGATTATAGGGTATTAACATAACCTTCTTGTTGTGAAATCCCTGTTTAAATTTGATCTAATGTGTGAGGCTGCCCCAAAGAGCAGTCTTCTTCCAGTATAAAGGACTGTGTTCTCCTTTGTTAAATTGCAGCCCGATTAGACATAGTTAAACACACACACACACGTTCTGTACCCATTAAAGCAAAATAGCTTAGGGAGAAATGGTTGGGTTCTCCCCAATATCTGACGAGACTGCCGACGAAGTGTGCTCTAGCCTGAAAAAAAGCTCGTTCCTCAAAAAATATGTTGCCTGAAAAGCTGTTCTCTTGCTATTCTTCCAAAAATGGTTTGAGCATAAGGGGAAGTAGATTACTCAAGGGAAAACCCAGTGTTTTTTAGCGGCATATTCTGGTTTATTGGTCATGTTGCCACTGGCTATGAAGACACACATCCTTTTTTTATTTTGCCATCACACAGTTTTTGTTTCGTTTTTTAAAAAAGCTTCATGCTTTTTAAGCGCTGCATTGCTCTCAGCCTCCTGCTTTCCAGCATCGCGGAAGAAGTGAGCACACTGCATGCAAAAGGCTTCTTTCTAATCCGCCCTGGTTGGCTGGAGCAGGCAGAAAGCTGTCTGGCTGTGAGAAATGAGAGGACTGTGATGTCACCAGGAAGGCAGGGCTCCGGCTGACACAGAGCTCTGCCGTTGTTGACCCTCCTGTTTCCAAGTGAGCCGGCAGCCAACCAGAGCTCTTGTCCAGCCCAAGATGGCCTTTGAACTATCCACCAGCAACTTCCTGCTGTGCTTAAAAAAAAAAAAAGAGTACACAGTGCAATGCAGTATGTCTGTCAGCTATGCGGCACAAAGGAACAGCCATTTTGTGACAGACCTGCAGTAAAATGCTTAGCGTTTTCCTATTTTGCTCCGACCCACCTAGCCCATTTATTCCCCCCCAAAATAAATGCTTTGTGCCTCACACCACGAGATATTAAAGCCCCCCTCCCCCACCAGTAATTCTCTCCCTCTCTCCCCTCCACCCTCATTGCTCATTGTCCCCAGCTAAAAATCCTCATTTTAAATACGAGTGGTGCTTCATAAAATGGCCGCCACTAGCTGAATGTGCTTGTTAACAGAAATCTGCATGATGCAGCTTACAGTTACTGCTTACAGCTTTAATGAGAAATTGCTCTGGAAATAAAGCCCCCAGCTTGCAGGGAGAGCGTTAGCGGGCGCAACAAAAATGCTATATTAACTCTGTGTAGTCTTAACTAGTTTATAGATTGTGGTGCACAGAGGCAAATATAAATGTTGACATACTGAAGGATTTGCGATGTGAGCATGCATTTCGAACAGCACAAAAGACAAGTCTCAAACAGCTATTTGTAAGAAATCATAACGTTATGCAGACTCCTCTCATGTGTTATTGAATACCCCAATCCTGTGTACTGTTTACCAGGACTCCATTGGGTACAGCGGAGCTTACTTCCAAGTAACAGCCCAATCCCAACTATGTTTACTTGGAAGCAAGTCTTGTTTAACTTATGCTTAGGGTCAGGTTGTGCAGCCTCATGGAACTTCTTATGTATAGGGGATTCCCGAATATATGTAGGATTTGTTGCAGGTGCTCCCATCTTGAATATGGCGTAGCTAAGGATCTTACAGGAGGTGCAACTAACCTGTGACCATCCAGAAATTGTTGGGACTCCCAACTCACAGCAGCCCCGCTAGCATGACCAAGGATCAAAGATGATGGAAAGTACAGAACAGCAACAGCTGGAGAGGCACTGGTGGCCCATCCCAATCAACAGCCTACTTGGGGGTGGCACCCCAGTTAGCAAATTCCCTTGCTAGGAAGATTAACCTGGTATCTTCCTTCCCTAGCCTTCAGGCAGCAACAGGAAACATTTTCATCGCTGAAAAGTGCTTTTCATTAACACAAGACGCCCAACTGTGTTCAACAGGACTTAGTTCCGCATAACATGCATCAGACTGTGACTTAAGCCAGGTTTTAAGAGGGAGTGTGTTTCTCTATTCTTTTTAAAATATTGCATTGTGTTTTGATTTTCTGTGTTTATTGTAAGCATTGCAGAACATTTTGACATGAAGTGGTATGGGAATTTAAAATTATTGGTTCATGAGCATATTGGGAATAACATGGTTCCATGACAAACCTTGTGTGAAGTTCTTAATAGCTTGGGCTTTGAACGAAATCTTTTTCCAAATGACTGGAAGTGTTCCAAGCTATTTATAATCTAAACCAAAGGTGGGCAACGTGTGGTCCTCCAGATGTTGGACTAAAAAATCCCTTTGGCCCAGTCAGTGTGGCCCATTGTCAGGGATAATGGCAACTGTAGGTCAACAGCATGTGGAAAGCCACAGGTTCTCCACCCAACTTAAACCATAACAGGTTTTGTTGCAGAATATGCCACCACAGCTTTTTCATTCAACATACGTGCCCATAACCACATGAGAATATTCATTGTTCACTCACAGCATCCACTTGTTAGCTAAGAAGTGTGAAACATTATAATTATGAATAGGATTAAAGGTTATAAAACCAGAGAAACTATAGTAGGCAACCATTGTGCAATGACAAGCTGCATCAGAACATGGACTTGAGTTGTATATTATTTGGGAGTTTTATCCCATCCAATATAACGGCATATGGAAGAAGAAGAGACCTAGGGTCACCTACAAGTGACCCTAAAGATCATGAGCCACATAGAATCCCTATTCCAAAACTGTGGAGCAAGTATTAAAAAGCAAAACTTCCTGCAAGAATAAAATGTGTTCTCAAAACATTTCCCAGTAGGAATTGTGTTCTCTGCACAATGTATTCTTGTAGACCAAAGCATAGGAAACACTTAGGGAAAAGAAATCTTGAGCCAATTTTTGCAGGGTGGGGGAAGCAAAGGAAGGTAAGTTACTTCTTTCTCCTAAAAACAATATAAGGAGCATGGGACTAGTCCCATCTCTCATATACACATTTACCCACCCTTCAACCAGCACCCCAATCTTATCACTTATCTCCCAATCAGGAGAGGCCTTGATGTAAACCATCTATGACACGTTTCTCCACCCCAATCAGATACAGAAAGGAAGTTGCAAGTAGGATGTGTGTGTACAATTTTGAGGTGGCCTTCATAAAAGTACTTTCCCCACAGATACACCTTCTACAACATTGAGACAACCAACAGCTCAGAAAATGAACTCCAAGGAGGAATTGTTTACAGTAAATATTGTTTTTTCCATTAGTCCCCGTGAGAAAGTATTGCTAGTAGTAAATATCTTCCTTTGAAGAACTGCAAGGGGAGGGGGGAGAATAGGGATCTTTATTTCAATACAAAAGGTGTTAACATAATGCTTACCAGGAAAGCAAAAGTTCATGTGTGGAGGTTATGCAAATAATATACCCATGGGGAAGAAAAAAAGGGGGGGGATGTCAAAGGGGTGGTTAATCTAATTTTCTAATTCAATTCACATTTCACAGCTTTTTAAAGGTTTAGTTTGCTGCCCCTCACGATACTAAACCCCTTTGTTCAGTTTATCACATTTATTTATTCCTAAAATGCAGTGGGTTTCTATCAACGTGGATTAACCGATTAACCAGCTAATTTCAAAAACAATGTTGTTACCAAGTCAGCAATTTGACTTTCACAACTGCATGTCTGAATTGTGAGTTTCATAGAGTTGAAAATTATGCATTCCTAAAAAGAGATCCATGCTTTCTTGTACCTAGGTGTGGGAATCAAATGGCTTTTTCACCCCCATCAAAAATTGCAGCTGCCTTCAGTTTTAATCTTCAATTAAATATATCCACATCCACTGAAATATTTTACATTGCTAAAACTTTGAATCTCTTAGTGCATAACATACTGTAGGAAAACACCCACAACCCCTAGGGTTTTTCTACCACATGGTATTAATTCAAATTCTAATAATCTATTGAATTAAAATCTAAACATCACAATATATCATTCATACACTTAAAACAAGGAACAGGTTGGTACACAAATTATTTTCAGGATTATAAACACAAAAAAGCTGAAAATGGGATTTTAAGTAACAAAACAAGCTAGGGTCAGTAAATATGTTGCAGAAAATTCTTATCATAATTATCAGGGACACACAGCTAGAATTCCCTTGCTACAGGGCTAAGCAAAAAAGTGACAGATTCAAATTAAAAATATTTTTATTAGACTTGCCATCCCAACACCTGCAAAAAAAAAATACACAAAAAATCCCAAACATTAAAATTTACTCCAAGTTAAAAAGAAAATAGACAAGATTCCAAGGTGTCCCACTTAGTTCATTTCTCTTTTAAATGGAAGAATCTACTATCAATGGGGAAATCTGGTTAAAGTGTATCAAAATATATTAAAATACCTAAAACAGTATCAAAGTTTTGTAAAGCCAAATTGAATATGAAGCAAAGGGTGTAAACCACACACACGCGTTCTGGTTTTTATTATAAAATGATTTTTTTTCATTCATAAAACTTTGTGTAGTTTCTTATTTACAATACTATCAGGCTTCTGTCTGGCCTTCAACTAAAGTTTAGACTTCACAAATTCTTCAAAGGAAACAAAATCCCTTATATGTAAAATGGTGCAATGCAGCAGTGGCTATATAGGCAAGGTCATTTTTCACAGCACAAAACCCCTCAAAAACACAAAATTCAGAAGCTAAAACTTGCATAATATACAGGAAAAGGTTCCATCTGTAGAAAGGTGCTTTACCTTTTAACTATGGCATGGGGCCTTTCAATCACACCACAACTTCCAGAAATTGCAACCAAAAAAAAAAAAAAGAAAATCAGGGTGTGGCATATTAGCAAGCTCAAGGTCACTCCTTAGAAAAAAAATCTAAAGCATTGAAATATATATTTTGTTTCTCTCCTGCTGGTAACCCAAGGGTGTCAAAAGGTAAACAATGAAATCAGGTTAATAAAAAAATAATAAAGTTGAGAGATCATACCTCGAAGCATTGCTGTGGACTGAACCCTCCTCTCCTTGGCTTTTATCCGTATCTCTCATCATCTTTTTATTCTTAAATATTTAAGGGAAAGGTAGAGAGGTGGCTGTGTTTGCTTTGAAGTCCTGTGCCCAGGTATTTACTGTCAAAAGTTGAAAGAAAGGTAAGGTCCCAGTTTGTGCCTATGGCTTTCAATACCAAGAACAAAGTCCTGACGCTGCAATGGTATTTGTTACAATAATGCAGAACGCTGATCAACACGGGGAAAACGGAGAATATTATACATTAAAAAAAAAAATACCACGAGGGTACACAGCCCTGGGGAGCATCCTACAAACTTTCCTAAAGTAACCCTGGAAGCAAGTATTCTCGGTATTTTATTGCGTCATTCCAGGGTCGTTCAAACCGGTCGAGGGGGAAAAAATCAAAAGTATTCAAAAAGGACAAAAAACCTTCAAAATGGTAATTAATAATCGCCCACCTACCTGATTCAGGCACCGGCGCCAGGTCCAACCCGATATTAGTTTCGGGTCGTGGGAAAACATTAGCTCCAAAATATCTCAACGGCAACACGGAGAACGAAAGAAAAAAGCCCGATTTCTTTTGAAAAACAATAAAATAAGGCGTTTAATCCCAAACGATCTGCATTCGTTCAATTGCCAGAGGCGATAATTAGAGCCAAAAGATGGGGTAAAAAAGATCCGGAGAAAAAAAGCTCATTAAGAGAGCGCACAAAAATGGAGGTACGCCATGGCTTCCAAGCTAGGAAAAACAACGACCTGGGCTGCCTCCACGGCTGCTTCTTTCCAACAAGGCGAAGGGAGAGCGCCCCAAAAAGCCGCTTTTCTGCCCGAAAAACGCTCGATGCCCCCTACGACAGTCCCCGCGAGAGGCTAGGGGCCGCAGGAGCCCCCTGAGGTAGCCAAAAAGTTGGGCAAAGTTGCGCAAAAGTGGCGGAGGAGGGGGAAAAAAGCAGGGAGGCTCAATGCGCTCTCCAAGGCACAGCCGCCATCTAGAGCTTTCTTCCCAGCTCTGAGCTCTGCCTTTGATTGACACTCTCTACATTTACCCCACAACTCAGGTGATGTACCATAGACCCACCCCTTCATTTCCACCCAAAAAGAGAGGGGGAGCCTCCACCTCAAGGGTGCATACCCCCCATCACTGGCATCTTCATACCCAACTCCAATCTGTGGAGGAGGCAACTTAACCCCATCTGGTTCAGACACCCTTTCCAAGCCAAAAGAGATATTATTGGTTGCTTTTGTTGGAGAGGATTGCCTTAGATCACTGTCCTTGGGCTAAAATTACTTCCTCTTTGGACAGGAAGTTGTGGTGTAGCAAGCCATTTTGAAGGAATGGAAGCAAGACTGGTATCCAGTGGGTTGGCACCAGTGGTTCACATGGGAAGGCTAATACCCCCAAAGGGTAATTTTTAAAGCAATTCATCAAGTAGCTTATTTCTGATAGGCACTGAGACACAAATAGCCCAAAGCCATTAATGGTATAAAAGTAATTCCAATGGGCACAAAAAGAATTATCTATTAGCCCTTTTGACTCAATAGCGCCACCCTAGTGGTTCTATTTGAAAAGGACAAAATTGTTGTGCTGGAATTCCAATTTGCTGGTTACCAAGAGGGTGTAAAATAATTCTAACATAGCCATGGTTCTATGACCCATTTCCTGAGCTCTTCATTTCAGCCACACTCCAATGACAAAAGCTTACGTCTCAAACATCAACAATTAACAAATCTATTTGGAACTCCTATGGAAAAGGTGGCACAAGAGTTGCTTGTCCAGTGACCATTCCCTTCCTGATTGGGATATTGGGTATTTCTCATAACCCCAAACATATGGAAAGCATGTTATACCATTGAAAAATACCATGGATGGACAAATGTCTATCCTCCAGTGACAGAGCAGAAGGTCCAAGCAAATGACAAGTTCCATCACTAGAACCAATCTGTTGCCACTTCCCCACATTATTTCAGCCCAACAAAGCTAGTATACAATACACAATTTCAAGCGAGCAATTTGAAGAATTTAGTTGAGAATTCTCTACAATGGAAGAAGGCTATTCTTGAAGGTAGGTTCCAAGTCTTCAGATTGATGAACACCTTTGGGTCAAAGTTAGTGGCCACCTGAGATTCTGACTAATACCTCAAGCAGAATTAAATATCCAAGGAATCACACTAGTCAGAATCTCAGGTGTCTTGCCTAAACCCAAACCACCACTAGGCAAGCCATACAGAATACACATTAAGAATGGGTAATTGTGCAACTCCCATCTTTACAACATTAATATCAGAAACATGAACATCATACCCATCAATAAAAATCTTCAACAGCAATCTGGCAGTTTATATCCAGTTTCCTCTTAATAATTATTCACAGCAGTATGTCAGAAAGAAAATGGACCTTCTAACCCCAAAATTATGTATCAAGTTACTAAGCTACCAGATCTGAGTTACTTGGTAGACATGAAGTGGCAATAGGTATTCAGTAATACAATAAAATGCATACGGTTAACTTTAATGGTGTGCATAGGCAATTATTCAACCTAACTTCTTTATCTAGCTAGGGTTGATTAACCAACATGGTAGAATCAAAACATTACAGATTTGTACAAACAGCAATTCATTTAAAATACTGTTAAGTATGATCAAGAAAATCAGACCCACATACCACACCATAAGGAAATAAAACTATAATTAAATATTTAGAAAAAGTGTTGGTTTTTCAATATGTGTATATTATCCAACTCTAGAGCTGTCATAGGAAACTCTAGGTCATAGTGTGATGGTGAGGTGACTACACATATTTGTACCATTCTAAGATAGTTGCACTGTTCTGAAAATGTCTTGCTGACATCTACCATCATTTATCCTAGATCAGGCAGACATAAAACCCATAGGAGGATACAACCTTTTCCACCTAGCCAGAAAACACAGAATATAAAGCCCCAACAAAGAATAAGATCCTACTAAAAACAGACAGCAATCTGAAAAGTTAGCAAGTATTTGAAATATCATTTCACAAAATATTAAATTCTTTCTGTAATCAAACAGTTCTTGTCAACGCAACCAGTGACAGGAAAGATCAATACATTAAGAACCTTTAAGCCTGAAAGACGACAAACAAGATAAAAATGTAAAAAAACCACTTTTATTTAAGCCATTTAAAGTAGCACAGCACTTCTGCCAACAGGGGAGAAAAGTATGCATACATTCCTGGTTTGAAAATTCAGTCAGCCCATTCCATCCCCAATGCCAAATAAGTTATATTGGAAGGGTCAGAAATCATTTGATTTTTTTAAAAATCCATTTATCAGATTATCATTAGCCCAAATCTTCTCTGGTTTAGATTACACTGAAGTTCATCCTAAAGTGCCCCTCTTGGTTGGACATAATCAGCAATCATGCAATAGTTCATTCCTCAACCTCTCAATCTGTGGAACTGCCATCTTGATTTGGAACTCGTTGTCTCCCTTTGAGATTCTTCCTTTGTCTGGACTCTTTATAAAAAAAATTAAAAGAAAAATTCTGTTGGAATACAGGTAATTTTATCCTTAAACTAAACAACCAACATTGAATTATCATATCTGAACACATTTTAATGTATTTTCAAATAACAAAAAATGTGAAAATTAGTGATGTCAGAGGAGCATTTAAAAGGTATTGAGAAAATACCGGCCATTTTTCAAGATTGCTATAGAGAAGGACGTAGGCAGAATTTTTTACTTTAAACCACTAAAACAAGAAAGGAAATGTACTGGTTCTAGACACAGTCTTTATGATCATGAGATTCACAACAAACATACTATAGGGAATATATTATTTTTTAAAAAAATCTATGAAAGAAGAAACATTTTGTTCTGAATTCATAAAGTTTTGTTCAATTTCATACAATTCTGTGTGGTTACACATTTAATTCATAAGGTGCACAGCTGGTGAATACATCACTTCCCAAACTTTTAAGACTATGGGTTATGCTACATGCCAGTCAGGGGGAAAACTGAGTAGACCCATGGTTATCTTATTTTTATCCATTTCAATGTGCCTGCTCTGAGTAGAACTAGCATGGGACACAGCCCTAAATATTATTTAATTTGTTGAATTTGTGTGCTGCCCTTCATCTGAAGATCACAGAGCAGTTCACAACATAAAAATACAAATTTAGAACACAAAATACATAATATTCTCCCACGAACACATTTAAAAGGCCATAAAATGTTAATCAGCCAAAGGCCTGGTTATATGTAGTTCAGTTTAGTGAACTCCCACACCAATGGGCACTACACCTGGATGTTATATAGGCTGTAATAGATGCAACAAAATGAAGATTTCAAATAGCGTAAAACATAAGCAATACAGTACTACTAGGGGACTAAACAAGTTCTGCTGTCCTTACAGATTTAATAAGGACTGAAGAAGTCATGGGAAGGTGGGGGCAGAGAACATGGCTAGAAGGTAGGACTGGCTAAATACTAATTTATCTCAGCTTGGTCTTTGGTTATATGACTGGCCCCAAGATCCAAATGAAAAATGGATTTGTTTCATTTTGATCCCTATGAACATAGAATAAACAGAACAGCAAAAATTTATAATCCTGCTACAAATTCCAAGAGGAGTAAGTATTCCCTTCAAATTAATTCTCCTGATTTAAGAATGATTATTCACTAGGTTCAATTCTATATTGACACCCAAGGGCAACCGGGTGTTCTGGATGGTCTGGTTTTGTAGCCCTTTCACATTTGCCACCTCCTTCCTGTGCATTTCTTAACTGTACCCATCTGTTACACTGGGTGTGACTGTAGTCTCAAGGAATAGCATTTAATGAATGAGACAGCACCAATTATGGTGGAGGGATCTTCAGGGTTTAAACCGCTTTGAAGTATGTGGCGTTTTTACCATCAAGCAGTGTATAAATTTTATGAAATAAAATTAAAAAGGATGATTTTAAACTTGCAGCAGATTTGTCAATACAACAGAATGTTGTAATAATATTTTGGCTCTCGGGCAACACATTTGCTTGAAATTACAAATTCAGTTTTGAAGAAAACTTCAAATTTAAGCTAATTCATGAAATCATGTTGGCACTTCTCGCAAAATCATTGTCCAAATATTATTAATGTACAAACAGTAAGATTATCAAGACCAGAAATTTCCCTACTTCATGTTATAGCATAGAAACCCTGCTGCAGCCAAACCTGGAACATGGGACTATTCAAAATTTAACGAGGAAGAAGTCTAATAATAAAAGTGAGTAGTGAAGCTAGGACTCACGGAACACTTGACTGGTTTGCCCAGATATAAAAACATTTCAAGTGTTTTTCAGGCCCAGAAAAATTATTTTGATCTACCATTACCACAATGTTCTGTAGATGCATCAGCATAGTAGAAGACCATAGCCAGACATCCACAAAAACTCAGGGCAGCACTTGTCTCAAAATAGGTTATAGGAAAGTTATCTCCATTTCTAGACACTACTATCTGTTTTCTTCATTTAGTGATCCTATCCTCCAATATACTCTACAATTATGGCATACAGCGCAGCTTACCAATCCTTTGTATCCATTTTTCATTGGGTCATTGCAACAAAAAATTGGTCAAATATAAATTCAGCCAAGTCATAACCAAGTATTTAGTAATTACTGACCTGCACTAGGAGAGCAGAGATGAAGAACCTATGGCCTTCCAGATGTTGTGGACTACCAACTCCTATCAGCCCTAAACAGCATGGCCATAGGTCAGGGATGATGCGAGCTGCAAGTCCCAACAAGAGCAAGGCCATAGGTTCCCTGTCTTAAGAGAAAACTAAAAAAAGTGTTTTGGATCAAGGTACTCTAATATTGAAGTATTGACCTTCTTCCACATTTTATTATTTAGTACTTTCAGAAGGATATACCTCTACAAAGGTGCTCTTAAAATCAGCAACATTGTAAACTGAAGTAAAGGATGCAAAATAAGCTCAGCAGCATTTTAAGTGTGTGCACAGATATTTTAGGAAGCTATGCAGAATATTCAATACTTTGCTTCCTATAAGAAGACTGACAGTTGAAAGTAGCATGTAGAGGTCAAGAGAACTAATTAGCAGTGTTTAACAAACATTTACATTTTTGTCTAAATATAATGTTAAGCTTCAGGTTTGACTCGCATGTTGATACTTTGCGAAGTGCCAAGATAAACACACATTTGGGTTATTACTAATTGCTACTGGCAATCCATGGTAGATACAGA